CATTTGTAAAGCGACTACCCTGTGCCCAGAAGGTAGAGACCCAGGGATGAAAGACCCAGTTCCTGCGCTGAAGGATTTTACAAAGTATTGGAGGCATCAGAATGGCCTGGAAGGGGAGGGAATGAACAGAAACACCACATACATTTACATCCCTGCATGATAAGTACAGTAATCAGGATCTGGGAGGCTCTTCTGGGAGGATGTAAGGCTCTAGAACATCGAGAAGCAGTGACTCATACAAGAGGAACCCTGGCTTCCAGGTCTAGGCAGGCCACTTGATTACAGCCTGAGATAAAACATAATGTACTTCACCTGATGGTCAAGATCTACTGAAGATAATGTGGGTAAACCGAAAAGGGCCATTCAAATGTTAATAAAGGAATTTTCTTGAAGACAGAGCCATTTCTGTCCTTAGCAATATCACTGCACTGGCTTATTTGGATAAAAGACGTATTCCTCCAGTCCTTTGTGTACCTTAGGGCAGTTTCTTTGCCTGGAACCTTGATTTCTTTTCTACTAAAGACAGGCTACCCTCAACTACCCTCTGCCCTGTGTTCTGGAGCCTGGACACTTAGTGAGAGCCTAGCAGAGGCCCCCAGCCCTGAGCAGGGACCAGAAGTAGATGTTAAGCTGTAAACTTCAGGACTCAGCTACACAGAGACCGATAGCTTGTTCCTGGAATGGAATTCTTCCCACACCAAATCCTAGCTGGGAGGGGAGACTGGGCTGGAGAGCTTCCAAGTTTGACTGCAGGGCTTTGGTAATGTTGTGTTTGTTCCGGCAAGGGAATTGTAACTGGAAGGCAATACAATTAAATGTGCTAGAAAACACTCCCAACTTCTGTTGGCTTGCGAATGCCTTTCTCACACATATAAAAACTCTTGGACATTTTTAGAAACTTTAAAATATCATTCTGTTATTTTTGCTTTGAATACGATAAAGTCATGATTTTTAGTCAATGTTTTTATTTTTAGATTAGCACCTGACTAAATAGAATAATGTTACTTTAATACTCCATGCAGTAACACTCATAAAAAGAAACTGATGCCCATTTCCCCATTTAACAAATGATGTAAAGTGTTAAATTGTTTTAAAATAACTGCCTAAAATGATTTGTTGATAAATAAATTTTGAAATAACATTTTGTGTTATGTTGGGGAGTCATATGGATATTAAGACAGACCGAAATTTCGCTACATGTTGAATAATGGCATCAAAAAAAGACAAACTATTTTCATTACCTACTATTAGATTCTTGAGATTTCCCCCGAATTATTTTGATACATTTTAGTGTTTTTTTTCTCTAAATGGCAAGAAAAGAGGAGGTTTTAAGGTTGCTATTTGCAAGCATGTCTCAGAAAATAAGGCACATGGACATGGAGAGCATTTTCATCAAACAAAAAGTCAGATGAGATATATTGCCATTATCCATATTTTAACATTAGTTTTCAAGGTATTAGAGAATTTTGGTTGGTGTGGAAGCATTTTAATCAAATGAAAATAACAAGGATCTGAGTAAAGAACATCCTTAGGCTAATTTACAGAATTATTCTCATTTATGTGCAGTCATTAACTTCTTGCATATTAACACTAATGTTCCATAAACACGTTGTTTAAGCAATTCTTCATTGTGAGATTAAATAACCGCTATATGACCAAGTATAAAATAAATTACAAATTTTGTGTCAACGAGTGGGGCTTGATTAGATCCTCAAAGAAATAAAACTGCAAAAGTCACTTGTTGGGCATAGGGAAATTTGAATATGGACTGGCTATTAGATGATATTAAGGAATTACTGTTAATTTTTCTGAGAGTGATAGTATTGTGCTGGAATTACGCAGTCAACTTTCCTTATTCCTTTGCTATGCATAGTGAAGTATTCAGGGGTGAAATGTCATGCTGCCTGGAATTTATTTGAAAATACTTGATGAAAAACTAGATGAGAGCAAATACAGTGAAATGTTAATAACTGCTAAGCCTTGGTGACAGGTAGATGGAGGATTCTTACACTTTTTGCTATCCTTTTCTTCTGTTTGATAATTTTCATAATAACAAGATTTTTTAAAACTCCGCGAAGTAAAATAAAATATAATCACCAAGGGTTCCAAGTCCCCCCCCACTGGCGCCCTCTAGTGGCTGGTGGTGTTGAGTTGAGTGGAACCAGGCAGCCCTGCTGGGCCTTGAGTGTGCTCTACCCATCCTGTCCATCTGCGGCATGGGAGAGGCAGAGAGAGAGAGGGAGACACAGAATCTGAAACAGGCTCCAGGCTCTGAGATGTCAGCACAGAGCCCGACGTGGGGCTGGAACTCGGCATGATCATGACCTGAGCTGAAGTTAGATGCTCAACCAACTGAACCACCAAGGTGCCCCTGTTCTTTCATTTGTTCTTATTGGGGCTTTAAAGATAGGAAATGAGTCAGATATCATTACTCCCTTTTAATGAGTTGAATCCAGGGGATCAATTGGAATTCACTGCTGCAGGATAACCAGTGTCTGAAACTGATAGATTCTGTCTGCCTTGACTGAGGTGGGCCGGGAAGGCTTTCATGGGCAGCCAGTTACTTCAACTTGAAAAAGAATAGGATGTTGGGATGCCTGAGTGGCTCAGTGGGTTGGGCATCTGACTCTTGATTTCCACTCCAGTCATGATCTCGTGGTTCCTGGGTTCAAGCCCTGCATCGGGCTCTGTGATAACCGCAGTCAGTTGGGCATCCGAGTCTTGGTTTCCACTCTGATCATGATCTCATGGTTCCTGGGTTCAAGCCCTACATTGGGCTCCATGCTGACAGCAAGGAGCCTGCTTGGGGTTCTCTCTCTCTGCCCCTTTCCCCCTCCACAAAATAAATAAACAAATATTAAAAAGAAGAACACGACATTGAAAGTCTCAGATCTTCCTTTTCTTTGGGGAGGATAGGTACATGTAAGGTGATGGGAAAGAAAGAAAACAGTAGACATTCTCTTAACTGACGTCCTCTGAGCCATCTCCCCCACAACCAGGTTGACCCTGAGACTCCGTTCCCTCAGAAAAAAACATGCTGACCCTCATCCAGTGTATCCAGAAAGCTCACAGCTAGTGGATCCTATTCTAACTCTCCCCACCCCTACCAACTGAGTTGTCTGCTCACCAAGGTCGCTTTTGCTTGTTCCAAACTTGTTTGTGCCCATTATTCTTATTGGTATGATTAAAGTACACACAAGCCAATAAAACTTAAGTGTGGAACTCCCATCAGACAATCCACACATGTCACAAAAAAATGAACACAGCTTGGCAATTGAATGAACTTTTTTCTTATGTCTTAAAATATGTAAGATATTTGAGGTATATATTTTTACTTAAGTGATTTTCTTTTTTTTTTTAAGTTTTATTTATTTTGAGAGAGAGTATGTGAGTGGGGGGATGGGCAGAGAGAGAGGAGAGAGAATCCCAAGCAGGCTCCACGCTCAGTATGGAACCCCTCCGTGCAGGGCTCGAACCCACAACCATGAGATCATGACCTGAGCTGAAATCAAGAATCAGACAGCTTAACCGACTGAACCACCCAGGTGACCCTATTTGAGTGGTTTTCAACTGCCACCAATTACATAATGAGACAACTCCTTCATCTTGACAGTGTTGGATAAAGGGTTTTCCACCATCTTATGATTTTCTATCCAGACTTTAATGAAAATAATCCAAAACTGGATGATTAAAACAATTTTTTTTCTGTACTGAGCTTGGTCAGGGAATATATGGATTTTCCCTGTTGACTTATCTCCTTGCATTCTATTTAGACTAATATTAATACCCACTTGCATTTTCTGAGCATGCACTGATAGTTGGGGACAGACACTTCCCCCACTCATCCCGCCACACCCTGCTTCGGCCCTGGGTATATGGGGAAGCCACTAGACCTTCCAGACACTGGAGCACCACATGTCCATTATAAAGGTCTAGCTGTATTAGAAATGGAAGGACACCTAATGAAGCCTGTAGGGAAGCTCTTCTAGAACTTTCACTTGGTTCTTTGAGGCCAGTTAGGAGTTTGGGTATCCCTTCTCTTGAGGAAAGCCAAATAGCAGGTGTGACCAGATAGAGAAGGTGCCCTGGAATCAGAGACCTGGGCTCTGCAGAGGAGTGAGCAGGAAGGCCTTGAAGCTCTTCCTTTGGAAGGAGCTGCCAGGTGTTGGGTACCTCCTCCATGATGACACTCTGGGGTGGGGCAAGGGTAGCCTATTTCTGATCCCAGCCACCTTACACCCCCATGCCAATTCCAAGGTAAGAAATGTGTCAGGCCACAGGCAGGTAGAGACATAGCCCTTGGATCTGTCCCTTCATAGCCCAGCACTCAAGGACTCAGGGGCAGAGACTATGCTTATCGGAACAACCTCACTGCCTAAGGGGATCTGGCTGCAGTTTAAGGTGTCAGAATGTGGCCCTCTCTGAGTCTCAGTTTATGCATTTCACTAGCTGAGGACAGTGGGCCTATTGACCTTTGTGGTCCCTTTCAGCTCTGCCTTCCTACGGGGCTGTGACCTATCTGCAGTGGGAAAACCAGCCAGTCATCAGTAAAGAATGGAAGTGACCTAAGAAGTCCCTCATAACCCAGGGTGAGGGGTTGAGTAGGACATCCTTGAATTGGGGGTGAGAACCCATGTCTTGGCAAAAAGTCAGGGCAACTCTTCCCCTTCCAGACAGAAGCAGAAGATGGAGATGGGTCTAGGGTCTGTCTGCCAAGACCCTGAATCTCTGCAAGGCAGGGAAGGAAATGCAGCAGACTTTCGACTTTGGCAAGGGAGGGAGGGGGCAGGCTGCAGCTCCCAGCCCTGACCCTGAGCCTTGTGGCTGGTGGGAGAGTGTGGGCCTGAGGGTTGCTGCATCTTACAGGGATGTCTTGGGATGGGGCCACCTCTTGGACCCCTGTCGAGGATGGGTGGGGAGGTTCCAGGACTCGGACCAGTCACCGGCCTATCATGACCTCCCGCCTGTGTTCCTGGCTCCTGGGCAGGGTAGGGCACAGCTCAGTCCTCTTTGGGCGCCCGGAACTCGGGCAGGCTCCAGGTACGGAGTGGCGGCGGCGTGTCCCGCTCCACATCCTCCGAGATGGTCCGTATGTCGCTGGTGAAGGGAGAGATGCGCGCGCGGGTCTTGAAGGTGGCCAGCGCTATGTTGCCGCGGGGCCGCAGGCTCCACTGGCTCGTCAGCTTGCGGGCCTCCTCCTCCTGCTTCATTCTGTCCAGGACCTCCTGCAGCACCGAGCGGAAGAGCTGGGACACCTCCCGCACTTCGGGCTCCTGCTCAGCTAACAGCTGCCGGAACCTGCGCGCAGAGGGGACAGGAACCCGTGCGTGTAACGTGCAGCGTGGCCAGGGGCTTCCCAGCGCACGCCCGGTGGTCAGATCCTGGTCCCGACACTTCCCCGCTTCTGACGTCAATCAGAAACCACCCTCCTCCCTACTGCTCCAGCCAATCCTGAGTTCATATCCCCGCTCTGCTACTTCTGGCCTCTATGGGCCTCCGCTTACTCATCTGTAAACTGGGGTCACAAATCCTTCTGTGGGGTTTAATGAGCTACCATAGGTGAAGATCCAGACATTTACGTCAGGTTCTCGATGCCAGAGTGGTAAGGGTAGCCCACTTACCTGTTAGCATGGGCCGGCCTTACCAATGTGAGGCTTTCTCGCTAACCTCTCCCAACCTTTTCTGCCCCCTGGCCAGAGGGATCTCTCCCAAATGTGTATCTGTGATGTCACCTGCCTGCAATACTCCTTCCATAGCTCCATGCCACCTGCTGGGTGAGGTTTTCCTCTGCCTCAAATGTCTTTGCTTAGAGCTCAAAATGAATAACAATTATTAGCAAGTCCATTTAACACCTGGTTTCCTCCACCACATTGAGAATTAGGACTTCTCAAACTTTTCAGCAGTGAGACAGGAAATGTGAGGGGACAATCATGATCACATGTGTGTCCCTAGCCTCCCCCTCACTTACAAGGTTTGGTTTACCAGCTGAATCCTCTGTCAGCACCCCCCCCCCCTCAACTCACTCCACCCCTTTCCTCAGGTGCTTCTGGAAGTAGGTACATTTGGGGGGGAGGGTGTTCCTTGATATAGAACAAGATAAATGGGAGAGGGTAAGATTCTCATCCTGGAGGAAGAAGGGGGCAGGGGTGGAAAAGACTACAAAATCCAAAAGAGGGTAGATAGGACTGGAGAAGGAGTTTTAAGAAGAATTTTCAAGGAAAAAAAGGTGTACAGTAGATGCTTATGTTGGTTCAAGAGATGGGTAACTAAATATGTGGGGAGACTAAGTGGGATGTTCAGATGCTTTGTTGTGGATCTGTATTCCTTTACGAGTGCTTGGGAAATGTAGATAAAGAACCCGAGTAACTCTGGAAATCATTGCTGGTTGTCTGGACTATGCTTCTGTTACTTCACATGAGTCCAACCAAGACTGGGATGTGGGTCAGAGACCAGTCTTATTATTATTAAGGTTATATTCATGGACATTGTTGTACCCAAGCTCTAAATCTCGAAGTGTACAGTGCCCAGGCCTCTGAACGCTTCACACACACACACACACACACACACACACACACACACGTGCGCGCACACATGCGCACACACAACACAGGTACACGCACTCACACAGCCCCCTTAGGCAAGCTAATATGAAAGCTAGCGTGAAATACTATAATTGAAAACTCACTTTTGGAGAGATTATCTGGAGACCCTTTCTAAGAAGGTAACGTAGAAGATGAACGGATGAAGGAGAAAGAGCCAGCTATATTAAAATCCAGGGCAAAGGTAATCCAGGCAGGGAGAACAGAAAGCTCAAAGGCCCAGGGCTCTCTCCTGTCAGCACTCATGTGCCTCCAGGACCTGCCTCCTGCCTCCTTCTGACCCCCTAGCTCTGGGCTGGGCCCTTTCAGAGTCTGCCTCCTGCTTTGCTCCTTTTAACAGAGAACTGGGGCATCCAGGGGCTCTGGCTCCGGCCCGGTGGCCTCAGGCCACCGCCCCGTCGGCCACACCCCTGGAGCCCACAGGGCAACGGCTGGACCCGGGGCCAGGGGCAGGGGTTACCTGAGGATGGCAGGCCCACAGTAGGACGGGTGGATCTTGGCACAGACGTCCTCTAGCTGCAGCCGCTCGCCAGGGCTGAGGTCGTAGGTGGGCCGGGGCGTGCTGGCCAGCCAGCTGTAGTCCACTCCAGTGCAGATCTTCCTGACCGCATTGCTGCGCTCCCACTGCTGCCTCTCTGCCTCTCGCATCTGCCCTGCCAGCTCCATCATGAGCGTCTCCAGCACCATCTCAGCTGGCCTCCGGGATGACGGCCGGCCTTCATTCCACCGAAGCCATGGGATGAGGGACATGGCCCCCTGCCCGGCCCCTGCTGAGACAGGGCAGGAGGGAGTCTTCCTTGGACCCATCTGTCAGTTAGGGTGGGGACAAGGGGGAGGGAGAAGAGCTGGGACTCCAGCAAGAGGAGACCTGCTCTGTCCTCACAGCTGGGTGGCCTCAAGTAAGGTGCTTAACCTCTCTGAGCAATCATTTCTAATTCTGTAAGACAAGATTGGGCTGCCATGAGAAGCAGTTGTGAGTAAACTCGGGGCTGTCTGCATACCACAGTCTCAGGTTTTCACGATCCCTAACACATCCAGCTGAGCCCAGAGAGGCTCCCCTTCTGAATCTCTGCTAATTCCAAACAAAGAAAGAAATGTACTGTGTATGGCTGAGCATAGTCTTATATCTATGATTTAAGGGGGGAAAATACATGCCTACATTTTATGTTAACCTAACAGGAAAACACCCTGAGTTTCTTAATGCCCCAACCTGTTGCTGAAGGAAGTTTGGAATTGTATGGGGTTAACATCATCCTACAAAAGACACAACTTACCATTCATTTATTCAGAAGTGTTAATCAAGTACCGTGTGCTCATCTGTGGGAGGAACACAAACAGGAAAGCATGTCAGGGACACCGCTGTCCGGCAGATATTCGTGGAAAGAGGCAAACGTGACTGGTAAAGCATAGCATCAGTATTGATGGGCAGTGGAAGGAGTGACTCTAGGTGATGAAGGGCATCATAGACAAGGTGAATGAGAGCAGGGTGAAGGGGGAATGCAGGCTTCAGACACGTGGACTGGTGGAGAAGGTGTCCCAGGTGGAGGATCCAGCCACGATACAAGGAGTGTGGGGTACAGGCACAGAAACCCTAACTCCTCATATTTCCACAAGGTCTTGTGCAATACGGGTTTGTTGACTGACTGACTATATGGATGAATGGGTGGATGGATGAATGGATACATGAAGTGCCATCTCAGACATACCCCAGTGCCTGTCAGAAGTGGGTTTGTTCTTCTGACAGCAGTGAAGGTGAGGGCCATTCCTGGGCCGAAACCTGAAGTGGGTTTTTAAGATGCCCCAATTCCCTTTTCTATGCCTTTCCCCCTCTGGGAGCCCTCTGTTCCATGCACCAAAGGTCTTCCTGCCCAGACCCTCCAGAAGCTGAGAAAAGTGATTTGATGAACTCAGCCTCAACAATATGGCCATGAGGCATGGAGACACATTTTTAGGCAGCCCTCCTACCACCTTGCAGAGAAATGAATTTGTTAATGCTAGAGAATCAGACACAAAGAGGGAAAGTATTTTGGGGTGGCACAAATCAAACCTCTTCTTTTTTTGAAAGTTTTTTTAAAATTTTTTTAATTGGCAAATGAAGATGTTTAATAAAAGTAGGGCTTTGAAATCCTTAAGGAAGAGCTTGAGCAGGGAGCCTGATCCCCTCATGTCATCATGTTGATTTTAATTCTAGTAATTTAAAGAGACTCTAAGAGAGGCAACAGTACTTAGTTGACCTTGAGGGCATTTATCAGGTGCCTCAAAAGTTTTGAACTGGGAGTCTCTCAAATCTGTTTTTCATTCATGATCAACCAGTTCCCTAGTAACCATTATATTTAGGAAATTAAAAACCTTCATCTTCCACTCAGCTTAAGCCTATCACAAGTGGGGGCCTCAGATTACACCCTGATCCCTTCTTGGGACGTTGAGAGAGAAGGACAGATCATCAGACCCTGTCCTTGGGGTTGGGACAGTTAGGATCTTTTCTTCTCCACCCTTAACTGCTTCATGTGTTCAGAATAACGAGGCTGGGCTGTAGTGTGGAGAAAAGAGTAGGGGGTGGGGTGGGCTGTGTTCTGTCTTGAGAGCCCCAAGCACCAGGAGCCTCTGCTCAAGGCCAAGGGATCTGATTGAATCAGGGAAAAGGACACCTTGTTACTGAGTATTTGTGCTTTTAAAAGTGCATGGGTCAGGTTGATGCCTAATATCAAAAGAGTGAATGGTGTCTTCAGGTGTTCCCTCAACCCCATGAAGGGCACCCCAAATATGGATGAACCAACTGTCCCCACAGGTGCTGCCAAGGATGCTGGGCCATTCACAGCTCCATGCTCTCTCCAGTGTCCCTCCCTCCTTTGCCTGTGGACTTAGCTCTAGGGTCAGCTCTCTACTGACACTTTCCCTGACATGCTTTTTCTGATGTGACCACTCTCTACTCTGTACTCTGAAAACATCTGTGCAGACATTTTTCACAGCACCAGGCATACTTAATGGAGCGTGATGATCTACCTACCCCCCCGCCCCACCCTGTGTCATATGTGGGCAAGGACTGTGCCTTATTCATCCTTCCATCCCTGGTGCTGTGTAGAACTGCAAACGAATGAGTGAATGAATGCATGCACACAGGAATGAATGATTAAAGAATGTATGCATACATCATGGTGAAAGAGCAAGTCCCTACAGATCTGATCTCCCCCGAGTAAGAGCACATTTGTCAGTGGCCACAGGAAGGAGAGTCTCCTCTGGCCCCCGTGGGACCACACTCTCCTGGCACTCAGAGATCCCTCCTGATGATGAGACATTGGCTGAGCTGTGGGGTCAGAGGTCATGTGGCGACCCCCTGCTAGAATGGTTCCCTCTCTGCCCAGCTGAGCCTCACCCAATGATGCTTTCAAATTTGGCCCTGGTCCTCCTTCCCCAGGAAGACTTCTTTGGCTGACCTCCCTCAACCCTTGTACCCCATCATTCCCCACTGCTGTCACCAGGTCATACTGCACCTGCACCTGCATCTGAATGCTGGGCACCCAACCCTGGAAGATGATTGAAGGAGAAAGAGACTGGTGAGGCTCAAGGTAGAGGGATGTGATGCCCCTGAATGATCTCTTAGTGTAACCTAACCTGCCACATACACCCTCCTGCCTGCAAACCCCTGGACTCCCTGCCACACCCCTGCCGACTGGTTAGCACATGTCCCAGCTCACCTGAGACTTCCCAGCCCAGCCACTGACCACTCCTCTCTGTGGAAATAATTTTTCCTTCACTTGCATTAGAACACAATCCTTGTTCTACGTCCTGCCTCCGTCTGCCTCCTAAGACTCCCTCTCAGACCCTCCCCTGGCCTTCCATGGGTTATTGCTGTTTCCTGGGGCTCTGTCCGAGGCTCTCCTTCTCATTTTAATTGGCCTCATCTGTTCACATGTCTCCAGTGACTACCTCAGTGTTGATAGCTCACAAATCAAAATCCATACACCAGTTGTCCCTTGAGCCCCAGGCCAGGGTGACCAGATAACTTCTCGACACCTCCCCCAGCAGGTTACACTCACACCATAACCCACATCCCTCCCCACTGACTGCTGCTTCTCCAGGGACCCCGCTTGCCATTGGGCATCACGTAGTTGCCCAGACTGATGCGCCAATGCACCATCCTTGTCCCACCCCTTTGCCTCACCTGTCAAATCCTGTATCCAATTCCTGCTGATTCTCTCCCAAATTTAAATATTATAATTCTCCTAAGTCTGTTCACTCTCTCTCCCTTGTTTAGTTCAGGTCTTGCCCATCTGCCAGATATATAGTTCAGGCCTTGCCCATCTGCTGCTGCCTCCTTGCTGGCAACCCAAGGCTGGTCCTTGTGAACCAATTGCCACTCCATTTTCCTTTTATTGTGGTTTTTAAAAAAGCAAATAACCTAGGGACGCCTGAGTGGCTCAGTTGGTTAAACGTCTGACTTTGGCTCAGGTCATGATCTCACAGCTTGGGAGTTCAAGCCTCACATTGGGCTCTGTGCTGACAGCTTAGAGCCTGGAGCCTGCTTTGGATTCTGTGTCTCCGTCTCTCTTTGTCCCTCCCCTGCTTGTGCTCTGTCTCTGTTTCTCTCAAAAATAAGTAAACACTAAAAAATAATTTAAAAACAAATAGCATAAAATTTACCACCTGAAACATTTTTAAGTATACAAAGTGTTAACTGGAAGCACATTGTTACACAACAGATCTCTGGCACCTTTTCATCTGGTAAACTTGAAATCCCACAGCCATTGAAGAATAGTCCCCCACTTTCTTTTATGATTTAGAGTGTGTGATCTTTCTAAATCATAAATCTGATTGTGTCACTGTTTCTTTTTCATTAGGTACCATAACATGGAGAGTGGGGTCTGTGAGCTGGGAGCCTGCCAACCCCCCATGTCCCCCCCCCCAAATTTCACTGGATTCTGAATATCAATAAAAATTTGAAAAATGAAGTTAACAAATGAATAATAATTCCAAATTGGAGTTAGAAAACACCTTTCAAATTTTTATTTAAAAAATAATTGTAATGTGGATTTATTTTATGCTGAGGTTTGATTGATGTGGGATGGGGGCTCCAATAGTAAAAACTTCTGGAGCCTGTGAAGGGTTTTAAATCTCCCTCTTTTTAAGCCTGGGGGTGGTTAAAGGCTTTCAGTTGTTTCCAATGTCCTCAGGATTAAACCTAGACCTCTTAATATGGCTTTAAGGCCCTTTATCAATCACATGGCTCTCTTTACTATCCTCAGTTTCATGTCTCACCAAACTTCCCCTTTCCCCCAGCCCAACACACACACACACACACACACACACACACACACACACACACATTACATTCCCAGAATATGCCCTATTTCTCTTGCTTTTAGGCCTATGCACATCCCTAGAACATGTTTTCTTTTTCTTTTCTTTTATTGAGGTCTAACAGACATATAACATTAGAGTAGTTGCTGATGTACAACATAATGATTTGATATTCATGTATATTGTGAAATGATCACCACAATCTTTCTTGTTAACATCTGTCCCCATACATAGTTACAATTGCTTCTTCTGTGATGAGAACTTTGAAGATCTACTCTCTTACCAACTCTCAAACATACAATACAGTACTATTAACTACAGTCATCCCCACAACTTAATTATAACTGGAAGTTTGTACTTTTTGGCCCTCCTTTAGACATTTCACCCTCTACCCACCTGGTGTCTCTGGAAACCACTAATCTCTTCTCTGTATCCGTGAGCTCAATTTTTTGTTTATGTTTTTTGTTTTAGATTCCACATATAAGTGAGATCACACGACA